GCCGAAAAAACCGATGCCGGTAGCGACAAAAACTGCGGCGAACTCTGCAAAAAACGCATCTTCGCACGGGCAGCCCGTGCGTTGGCCAATTTTATGAGCTTTAACAGCATGTAAACGCTTTTGTCGGAAGTATTAAAATTCGAACAACAGAAAAATTATTTTCATAAAATACCGAGTGCGCCTAGAATTTTTGACCCGGAAATTACTATTGTCAAAAAACTATCTCTGAATTTTATTGTGAATTATGCTTGTATCATTGCATGTAGAATTGTTGCTTGAAAAAAAGGAACGATAAATTTGTTATGCGAGTGACATATTGCAGCAAGTCAAGCGAGAACCAGAAGACCCATCCTTGCTAGCACCAGTGGCCAAATGCAATGAAACATCGTCGACCGTTCCGCTTGATTTGAGAAGTGGAAAAACTGAGCTGAAGCAACAACAACAACAGCAGCAGCTATCAAATGCTCTTGTTCTTGAGCCCACTAGGTACTAAATTTTCTTTCCGTTTTGGAAAATGCTCCGGTACAGTGGCATACCCAACAGAGGGGAGATGCGCCTGATTTTTGACTGTTCTTCCTATATTTGTACCGCAGTTGTTTAGTGTCCCTGAGCCAGTTTATGTACGTTTATGGTAGATGAATTTTTGCATTCTATGCAAAAGCAGAAACGCGCATTGTTGAGAAGCAAGTGAACTTTGTCACCCACTTTCAACTCAGCTACTGATAAGCTGGAAAGCTGAAACATAGCAGCACATTCCTTGTCAGCAGCATACCCCCTGAAATTATAGCAACATATCCCATGTATTACTCTTGCGTTTTAAAATCAGCACTTACGTGTGACCAGACCTCACACACGGATGCCTGGAAAAACAAGTTTTCTGGCGGGAAGTTATTTCGACAACCGGTAAGGGTAGGGAGTTGGAACTCTAGAGGGCTATTCTCTGCCCGTGTGTGAGCTAGAGATTTCAAATTCAGCTGTCAGCACATTTGCGACGCTCGTGTTGCTGCAAATTATTAGAAAAAGCAAGATTGATCCTGATTGTTCCGTTGAGGATGTGTTGAGGACTAGGATGTCAAATAACGTTGTTGTTGGCACCACGAAATCGACATAGTGTTCCTCTGCCGCTTCGAGCAGATGACAAAGATTTTAGCCGTGCACATTTGATTTGGGTCATTTTCAGAAATACAACAGCCGAAACAGGCGTCTCCTCTTCCGGCGCAGCATTTGTTTTGGATACACGATTTTACGCCTGTTGGAGGTGTTAAGCCTGAGCCTTCCTCAGCCTTTGCTTCTACCAGTGCAGCAACGCAACCACAGTAATTTTCAGAAATTTTAGTGCACCGCTAACGATATTCGCGCCAGCGACAGGAGTACCAGCCAGTGCAGCAACTGTATTCACTCCAATCACCGAGATGGTTCGGATACTGCAGCAGGCGCAGATGTTCAGCTCTCAGCGCCAGAACGGCGTCAGTAGCGCTCAGCAGCGGAATTTCAACTTGCTACAGCTAATGCAGCAGGAGCAGTCGGATGCCGGGAAATAAGGGTGTGATTTTCGCCTTCCTTTTCCCTCCGACGTTCCCCTAATGTACAGAGGCTTCCTCGTCCGTTCATGTGATGAGATTATGGTAATTTTTGGCAGCGCAATATGCTAGTAGTTTTTTTTTTTCGTTTGTTCTTAATTGGTGCTCTGGAGTCTCAAATTACTCATCCATGATAAGTGCATTAGGCTCTGTTTTAGCCCTGCAGTGTGTTAGTGGCTTGAAGCCAAACACAATCGGAATCTGTGTTTTCATTGCTCATATTAGTGGTCTGCTTTTAGTTTACTTCCCAAGCAATCTTTTGAAAAGGTTTGGAACTCTTAAGAGCTCTGCTAGCGAATGGTTACTGGTGTGTATGCTATCTCTTGAGCCCAAATTGAGCATCTTTGCCTTTCTTGGAAATGAATCTCCATCAGAATTTTGAATTAGAAATGCTGATTTTAGAGAATTTTTAATTACTTCGGTTTTTGTGAGGTTCTTTATTTTTTCTCAACGTTTGTTGAAAAAAAAAAAAAAAACCATCATCGGGTGCATTAGATAACAAACAACGATCAAGTAAGGAAAAACGCATTTGTAATTATTATGAGCCGAGAATTATTAATGTATATTTAACTATTTATGATTATTATTATAATTATTGCAATCTTTTCTGTAATGTGTTATATGTCGAAAGATGAAGTGCATCATTCGATTTATTAAACTAACGAAGGGATAACACAACAAATGAAAAGCGTAGCGAAAGGAGCTCCTTATAAAGCGTGCCTTAGCTCGCTCCAAGTCAAGCGTAGCTGTGCAACATGATCGACATGACACATCTGGTGGGAGTATAACAGTGATTATTATTTGCTTATGATTTATAATTATAATTTTTATGAACTCATGTATTTATGAACTGAAAACTCGATAAAAACAGTAGTTTGCAATTTCGGCATGTTTTTAGCGAATTCTATGGCAATGCAGATGCGAGTGTTTGATTGAACGCATTTATATTTCTTGCATTTATGTTCTCTTATCATCTGTCTTGCTGTTGTTATTAAGTATTTGATGTCACTATTTTAATTGTTTGAATAGGTGCAGCTTTGAGCATAGTACCCACAAGTGCAGATTCTTGCCTCTCTTCAATAAAGCCGTTTGAAATGACTGCGATTTGGCGCGCTGGCTGACTCAGCGTTGCTCGTAAGCTGGTAGTCAGTGTTGCTCGTAAGCTGAAATAGATAATTCAAATCTGCCAGCAGAAAAAACCAGTCCCATAGCTTAGCTTGCCGTTAATGCATTTCAATGGTAGGTTGATACTAGCGCACGTCAAGGAATCAGAGCCGCAGAAAGCAAGATTCTTCCTAACATTCTCGGAAATGGGATCCATTTAAGGCTTTGACAGCTGGTAGTCGATGTTGGCATTGTATTGACATTCGTGCTAGCTCCTAATGCATCCGTCTCGTCTAGTGAAATAGGATGCAGTTCTTGACTTTTTGCATATTGAAAGCGTTCATTTAGTCAAAAATTATCTTTTAACTTTTTATAAATTTAGGTCAAGCGCGCTGCTTTTTGCTGATTTTTTTTTTGTGTAATCATTGTTGGGCTTATGCTTTTTGTATGATTTTTCTTAAAATTAGCAATGTGGCAAATTATGCCATCACTCTCAGTGCTGTGCCATTGCTCTTCCCAGCCTGTAGGCCGGTCTGTTTTTGAACCAGTTTTAATCCAGTGTGTATCTCGGGGAACACAAAACTGTAATTCGCCGAGCCCCTGCCACCACAAGGCTTTCTAGTAGCTTCCGGCAACGCGTCGTCCAAGTCATTTTTCGTTCTTTAATGCAGTTTGGGGCGTCTTGTTTGCTGCAACTCATCCTTTTGTGGGCTTATTTGCGAAGGGAATGGCCTGAAATCGGTCAGTTACGCTGTATGCTAACCTTCTGCTTAATTCCTAAATGGGTTGTGTTGCTAAAACGGAGGACAAAGCAAGCTGCCAGTTCGAACTTTATTTTACAGACACTGCATGAGTCAAAGAGGTATCATAGCGATAAACAGCCTGTAGCCATGCTTCCTGTACTCAGAATAACACACCTCAAAAACACGTGCTTGTGGCGACAGCTTGCACATTACCGCTGTTCAGGGAGTCAGCCCACTAGGGCATGAATACTAAGGGTACTGAAATCATTGAAAGGCTAATTGCTTTGGTCATTAGTTTAGGTAGGATTTTTCGCTGTTCCACTTTCTTTGTAACATTGAAAAACGGTTGCTTGTCGTTATGTGCATTTGGGTTGCGAAAAATTGCTTGAACTGATTGTGGTTGACTGGCATGTTGGTTTGCTTTATATCAGGTTGCCTTTTTTTTTTATTTGGAGCTCGGATTTTTGCGTCTGAATTTTATAGCCTCGTAATCAGTGTTTGTACAGGCGGTAAATGCATTTTGTTCGTGATAACTGTTCACAGTCCGCTGATGCCTTTGACCGCTGCGTTGCGCCACAGTAAATGTCGTCCTGTGATGATGGGATGATTGCTGGTGCAACGCACGGTCATCTCTACACAAAATGTGTAGCCTAAGAAGTTCGTAGGTATTGCGGTT